CTTTATTGCTGCAATTTAATTTCCTATTTCTTATATTGAATGAAAATTAATCAATCTAAAACTTAATCGCTTAAAAGTTGTAAATAATTAAAAGATTAAAATTACCTCTTTTATAGTTCATAGCAGTTCTCCTAACAGTTACGTTCTGGTCCTATGAAAGTACATAATCTTACGGCATCTGTTAGATGAGGATATACCCTACAACATTTGGATTCACTTTTCTTGTTTCTAAAATGCTTTTCTGAATTAGTTGAATGATTTCCAAAAGTAGAATACATACTAAAGACAAAATCTTGCTTGTTAAAAATGTCTATAGTAGGATTAACTGTTACCTCTTTTAGCAGCAAAATATCTAAAAATTATAAAATGTAATTATACAACTAGGTAATTATAAAAAATCATCTGCCACTAGCTTTTATTAATGGTAGAAAGACTTGAACAAGATTTTATCCTTATATTTGTACCAACCTGTAACCATGGCACCCTACTGTATCTTTCAGCATTAAAGTCTATTAAATATACAATCCTATATATGAGCAATCTAAAATTCTTATATTACTATTTCCTGCTGAGTCCCAGTGGTTCACTATCTGTAATCCTAGCTACTCAGGAGGCTGTCAATTGTGGTTGGAAGGCAGCAGGGGCAAGAAAGATCATGAGCCACACCTAGAAAACAGCTGTGGCTTAAGTGGTAGAGCACTGGCCTTGAGCAAAAAACCTCAGGGATAGCACTCAGGCCTGAGTTCAAGCCCCAGGCCTGCCACACAAATTCCCTGCTGTTATTTGTTGCATGATGTTTTACAGTATTCTCAATACTATGGTGGCTCCTAAGTAGTGAGCTGAAAACAATTTCAGTTGTTTTTTTACTGAAAACTTCAGTTTCCTTTGTAAACTGCTTCATACCTATGAAGCATTTTGAGTATCTCAGTAAATTTTTAGTTTGAGAATATATGCAGTTATTTCTTTAAAAAAACAAACCCTGAAGTCACTGTGTAGCCTACCCAAAGAACTTGTAGAAAATAGAAAGGATAACAGTTTAAATAATACTGAAGCTGGTAATAATTTCAAACTTTACAGTTCACATAAATGAGGAAGAAATCCTAAGGTTCTGAAAAGGACCGAGACATTTCTTCAAGTCATTTGTCTAATAGGCACATTTCAAAATAAATAACAACAAAAAACTCACCATGTGAATTTGATATTTTCAAACTTTATTTTGCAGTACAGTAGAAATACAAAGTTATAGGGGACTAAATTACGCCAGAAAGCAGATTTTTGTATCACCCTTTCCAAGATAAGCCCAGACTAAACAAAAATTTTGTCATTCATATATAAAGTTAATTTCAAAGATATATCTTTAATATATTACTCATTTTGGGGGGAAAAAACCCACATATAATTTTTCAAAGTAACTTCATATAGTTTTCTCTGCACCCAATTTTTTTTCTTGCGATTTGGAAAACTGGGTGCTAAAAAGTAATCAAAATTAGCCAATTCAGAAAGACCATCTGGATTAAGTCCAAAGATACATCAGGTCTATTCTGCTACTCTAATTAATTTAAGCAATATCTTTTGAAAATGTGTAAGTGAAGCTGAGCTCAAGACGGCAAGAGAAAATAAGACCACTAGGGGGCAACCTCACACTGTTGAGACTTCCACTGGGCAGTCAACCTATAAACTTAAGGTATTGGGTGTGCCCTATGTATTTATATAAATAAAACATGTATAAATATGTACATGTCTTCTTTATATGTACATATATGTAACATATACACACATAATATTATATGTGTACTGCTGTGGCTCAAACTCCAAATAGAGCATGGGCTCTACCCCTCATGGTAGCCCCAGTTCTACAGTGGTTTTTGTTTAATGAGTACTTTGTGACAGCATGTCCCCTTCAAGGGTTTTGGTTTGGCAAGGAAAACAAACAAATTTATATAAATGCAAGTAAGAAAGTAAAATATGGTTAATGTGCATGAGTAACAGAGCAAACATAGTAGGCTCTCCAAGGCCTAGTAGAAACCATTAAAATTCATTCTGACCCAAATAGTAAATTTTCTGCCTAACAAGTACAAGCTCGAGTTCAAATCCCAGTAACATACACACACACACAAACAAAACTATGTTAAATGCTGGGGAAAAAAAACTATTCTAAGATGCACATAAACTGCTTTGTTAAAAGGCAACTCTTTTGTACAATTGCTTAAAAATAATTTTTTTTTAGTTGGTCGTGAGGCCTGAACTCTGGGCTTGGGGGCTGTCCCTGTGCTCTTCAGCTCAAGGCAAGTGCTCTACCGCTTGAGCCACAGCACCACCTCCTTAAAAATAATTCTTAAAAAATCATTCTGGGTTTAGTCATTACCAAAGGAAATGACAATTAATAAATGTACATTAAAAAAGATAAAATATGAATTAGGTATTTGGTGGATACCTTGTAGTCACAGTAAACTCAAGACAGGTTTTATGGTACTTGTAGTTCACAAATAATCTTAAATAATTCACACAGGGTAACTGAACTTGTTAATACTATTTCAAAAATATTAACTATTTTCAAACTTCATTCCAAAGCCCAAGTTCTTTTCACTACTGGCCAATACCAACGGTGGAAAATGATAGCGAAATAGAATATTGTCAAATTTTATTTGCTTTAATTTTTAAAAATTTAAAAAGAAAATGAGCACTTTGGTGTTGGAACAATTTTCCCCAATATAACTATTTTGTTGATAAATCACTTACAGATAGAGGGTAGAAGGGGCAATGTCTGCCAAATTCCAGGCCTCCTCAAAATCCAAGTGCCCCCCCCAAAAAGGGGGTGGGGGGCTAGCAGGGAATAGAGGTACATGCTTGTAATCTCAGAACACCTAAGGGTGTCACAAATATATCTACACCTGACTTCAAGTTTGACCTGAGTCAAATGAAGGTACAGGAAAAAATAATAATAAATTTGCAAATACTTCAAAATTAAAAATAAAAATTAAAAAAAAAAAAACCCAGTCACTCACATTTCAAATGAGACATTCAGCCTATACAGCTGAGCACCCCTGATGACGCCTCAGGTTTCCCCGGCCCACTTCAAAGTAGCACCCAGGTGGTTCTGGCACGGGGCCTATTAACTCCAATTGCATAGGAGTCTACTGACAGAATTCAGGTGGGTGAATTTGGCCGGGGGGGGGGGGGGGGGGAAAGACTTTCATTTAACCACTGATATTTTTGTTTTTCCTCCATTATTCCTGAATGCAGGCCAAAATTACAGTAATAGGCTCCCGGGGGGGGGGGGGGGATTTAACTTGACATCCTAACATATCCTTTAAAACTTCACCAGTTTGCATTAAGCAAGCTACAGTGCTATTTAATGCTTCTCAGTGACTACTTCCAGATAATTGACCCTATATTATCTGTAACATTCAAAACCAGTCCTCTCGAGATGAGCCACAAAAATGTAAAAAATAATAAAAATGCTGGCCAGCCCGTCGCTGCTTTTAATTCACAAAATGCGTTACTGACACTACCGATGTATGTGCTTCTCTCCCTGGTGTCCTGCTCAGCTACACGTCGGACGTGGGCTCTGTCTGGAAGTCTAGGAAAAAGGACTGGCTCTCAGTCCCTCAGCACTACCCGCATCTCAGTGTTCCAGCCGCTGGCTCGGGGATCGCAGTGAAACCCGCACCCCGGAGTGCGGGGCTCAGGCTTCCGGGGGCAGGGGCTGTAAAGCCTGCTCTGTTACTTTCTTCCTAGGGTCGGGCGAGGCCTTTCAGACAGACATCTACCGACAGAACACAGAAGTGGAAAGCCTGTCCCGGGCCAGTTCTGCTCCAAGTCTAACACGCGGTTCCAGGTGGAACGGCGGCAGTCAGCAGGGAGGCCGCACGGGAAGGGGGGGGGGGGGCTGCTTTTTCCAGCTGCACTCATTTCTGAGTCGCAGGTACTGGGGTGGGGGTCAGGACCCCCGCAGCAGGGATGGGGGGGGTGCCCGTCCCGCACGTGCCCGGCTCCTTGCAATCACCCCGCGTGCACCGGCTCCCACGTGAACACCTCTATGGGAGCCACAGGAAGACCTTCCACGTCACGTCGCCCGCCGCCGAAGGGGTTCCCCCCGCCCCGAGGTCCCCTCCGGGGCTCGGACCGCCCCCCAGCGAGTCGCCCCGGATCCCATCGGCGCCTCCCCCCCCCACACACACCCCGGGCCGCGCCCACGGCGCCCTCCACCGAAGAACAAAGCCCGGGCCGCCGCGCCACCTCCCCACCCCTCCACCCCCCCCCCCAGCCTCGCCCCGCACCCCTCAGCTCCGGGGGACCCCAACAGCCCCGCTCGGGCTGCCGTTCGGTTGGCGGGAGGGGGTGGGGTAGAGAACGAACCCCCCGCGAGGCCGCCGCCGTCCGTTACCCTCCGAGGCCGGAACCGCGGCGCCCGGGCTCCATCCCGGGGTCCCCGCGCCCGGCCCCGGCACGGCTGCCCGGCAGGACCTCCGAGAACGCCCCGGGAACCCGTGGCCACCCCCCCACACACACACACCGCGCCCCCGGGACCCCCGCCCCCCCCGGCGCGCGGGGTCCCCACCGCGGCCCAGGACACCGCCCCGGACGCCCGCGCGCAGCCCCCAACCGCCGCCGCGCGCGCCCCGGCCGCCGGCCCGCCGCGGCCCGGCCCGCGCAGCCGCCCCGACCCCCCGCGGGAGGCCGAGCGGGATCCGGGTCCCCGCGGACGGGGCCCAGGCTGCCGCCGCCGGCCCGGCCCCGGGCGGCCCCGGGCGCACACGAGGAGCCGCGGTGCCCCCACGCGCTGCCCGCCGCGCGCCCCGCTCCGGCTCGCCGCCGCCGCCGCCGGCTGCAGCAGCTGCGGAAACCCCGAGCGCCCCGATCCCCCGGGAACCCCGTCCCGACGCCCCGTTTCTGTTCTCCCCGTCTACCCCCACGCCGTCCCGGGACTCGCAGCCTCCGCCGCGCATGGGGCCGGTTCTGGGGGAGGGAATGTAAACAAATCGGGGTTTTATAGTTACCTCACACTCGAGTGCCGTGTGCATCTCCTCTCCGCTCGGTACCAAACCCCGGCTGCACCAAATCGTGTATTCACCAAAGCCGACTGCGCTAACTGCGTCGCGGAGGCCAGCGCTCCCGACGCCCGGTTACGCCAACGGCGTACAAGGCCCACTCAGGTCCCTGCGCAGCCGCACCCGGTCCGCCTATGGGTGCTACGCTACGGGCGTACACGCACCACCCAGCCATTCACTTCGGAAGCGCGGTTTGCGTAGAGAAACTGCACCACTCGCGGATTCTACACGGATGGTCGGAGCCACAGGAAACTCGAGTCTACGCAAATTGCGGAGATCCAGGGCTCCGCGCTAGTTTTGTTCCAAGAAAGGACGCCGCGGGGGAGTTGGGGCGGCTTCTAACGCATGCGTGGAGCGCCCTTTACCACTGGCCATCTGGCCCGGCGTGGCACACAGCACGGGTAGCCGGAGCCTTGGGCAGGCGGATGCGGGACGGACGCTCTCGGGACAAACGTTTTATTTAGCCAACAGGTTTCATGGGGGATAACTGGGGACTATTTTTTTTTTTTAATGTACAGGCGTTAAATCAATCCTCCTCTGTTAACGTAAGCGCTTCCGTCTGAGGGGGAAAAAGAGCAACTTTAAGGCTAAGGGAGAGGGCTTTGCACCACCGCCCCGCACACACGCGCGCACCGCCACCGCGTCCCCGGGGAAAGCGCACTTACTGCAGGCCTTCCAACACTAAAAGGAAAGGTTGAGGCTCGACCGCAGCCACTCCGCTCGCGCAGAAGCCTTCCCGACTTTCCCCCACCACCTCCCACTGACTGATCGTCCCCGCTCCCATTCCCCGGCCGTGCCACCCCGCCGGCCCGCCACGGTCTCCTCCCCCTCCTCTTAAGCAACGCACAGCCCCACATTTCCCTTAAATGGTGGCTCTGGAAGCTTGCCCTTTGCTTCAGTGCTCTGCTTCCTGGCTCTTCGTGCACATGTTGAGGCTCATTTGTATTCTGCCCGGGGTGCTTGGGTTTCTGTCTTCAACCAGAATCTGGCTAACAGTGAGGATGAATTCTAGGGGTGCCTCACGGGTGTCTGGCAGCGTGCATGTAGCCATGACCAAGGATGCACGGCAACCTTGATGTGTCGGGTACTTCCAGCGGGCTGTACCTGTGTATTAATACCCATAGCATAGTATAAGTAGGACTTATCCAGAAACGGAAGCAAATGAACTATGATTACAGAGGAGAGAGAGAAGAGAGTTGGTCTCCAAACCTATTCAGGATAGCCGCAAAGTTCTGTTAACCTGCATGTTGTACCTTCACGGACGATTGTTTGGGCATTTATGACTCTACGGAGCACAACTTTTAGATACTTAGTAAATACCTTGCCCAAGTGCTGGGACATTAAACTTCTCCTATCCTTACTGAAGCTGACACAGGAATAAAGAAAATTCAGAAGGGTGTAGGAAAGAGTTTCAAGTCTCACTCTTGTGAGGACGGGGAGTGGCCTTGGTCCTTAGCTTCATGGAGAAATTCACGAGATAGTTTTACAAGTATTCTAAGAAGCATTCTAGACCTGAATCTTTATAAAGTTTATAAAATTATGATAACATATCTTTGAATCTAAAACGTAGAAAAACCATCCAAGCCTGGGGCCAGTGGCTCACACCTGTAATCTTAACTACACAGGAGGCTGAGATCTGAGGATCATGGTTGGAAGTCAAGTGGGGAAGGAATAAGCGACTCTGGAAAAGCCAGACGTGGTGCTATGGCTTAACCACTAGCCTTGAGCAAAAAGCAGTTCAGTCACAATGCCCAGGCCAGGAGTTCAAGCCCCAGGAAAAGGGGGGAGGGGGGGGGACATCCAAATTACCCTATAGTTTAAGGCTCCTAAGTATGCAATTGAACATCACCACCCTTAAAATACACATTTCTGTTAAATAGCATATCCCCACTTGCATTCTGTACTGCCATTAGTTATGTATTTACAAGATTTATGTTCACTGGGTGCATACAAATATAGATAAATCCTTGATCAGATATTGAAATACTGCTCTATAAGTTGGTCAATAGCTACTTCTCTGCATCCTCCAGGCTTTCTACCTCTGTCCTATTGTTAAGAATTCTTAGGCCTCCAAATTAAAGGCTAAGATAGCAGCCTTGGTGCTCAAATCCTAGATTAGGCACCTACTTGTTGATGCCTATTCTTTATATTTTAAATATCACCCCTTCATAAAATTATATAGTAAGCTACTTGCAAATAAAGATCATGTTTCTAAGTACTTTTGTAAACTCACTCAAGTGTTCATATCCATTCAAGTATATGCATACTGATGTGGGCAGACCCAAGAGCAAAATTATTAGCTAAAATAAATGACCAAGCTACAAACTTTCTACTAGGAAAAAGAATTCAGAAAGCAACTTTCACTTCTACACAAAATCACTTGCTCTATTTAATAATGGGTCACATAGCAAAACTACCACTAAAACAAATAACTACATGTTAGGATAAGGACTTTCTCTCTCCCCTCCAAAATATTGTATGAGTTGAAAAGGAAGTTTCAAGGAATTTCTAATATGTTAGAACCACAGAACTTTCTTAAAGACTATTATGATACTTTTTTCCATCCATTTGGTTCATAAAGAAGCTCATTTAAAACATAGCACAGTATATGTGGCTTCAAAGACTTGTGGCAGAAGGATGTATCCCGTTAGGTGTAAATGTTTTACCTTTTATTATTTATTTATTTTGATTCAAACTGCCTCAATCACAATATTAAGTCACATATGGAAAGTTTTAAATGTGATATATCTGAACTTTTAAGTATGACCTATTACAATAGAGGAAATAAAAATCGTACCTCATACCTTTATCAGTAACTCTGATTGAAGGAAGCCCATGTCATCAACTTCATATTCCCTCTAAGTGAGTAGAAAAGTGTCACCATCCACAAAAGTGGACTTTTAAAAATCAAATCTGTGAAGAATACGACTGATTCTAAGACATCAGACCTTCCCAACTCAACTGTGCTTTCCATAAATTAAGATTAGTAATCACCAAAGAGAAAGAAACATCTTTAGTTTGAACTCTGCTTTTCATATGGCCCCAAAGTCTAAATCAGAGAATGTTATGAGTTATAGAGACCATTAATCAAAAGTATACTAAAGCATAAATTATGCTGATATATCAGTGGAGTAGAAAGGATGTACCAGAATGGATGTTTAAAAATTGGGAAAGGAACACAAAGATTATGGAAATGGCTTTAATTTTAGGATAAAAAATTAGTAAATACCCATTCAGTTTTAGGGACTATTTATTTCAGCCTAGGGATTCAGTTCTTAGCTCTGGATTTAGATCTAGATAAAGAATTGTAAAAGATACGTATCATTATTGTCCTTTGAAATATGTGACACTGTGTAACATCAATTGTTAAAATAAAGAAATGTGGCCTACAGAGAGATCTTTTTCAGTAATTTGAGAGACTGTGTCTATATTGTTTTATTTTATTTTTATCTTAAGATGATTCTGCACCATCTTAAGACTTGTTATTCCTAGATCAATGGAGCTCGGGGTGAGGCTCAGTATGTCAAGAACCTTGTCTCCTTAAAGAAAAAAAAAAAAAGAAAGGAAATGAGCCTTGGGAGGTTCATGGAAGTTCTCTTTTGTAGAGCTCAGCAATAGCTGTCCTGTGCCTGTGTATCTGAGACGGTTATCCTGTGAGATAGCAAGAAAAGAGAAAACAACCAGCCCTGAAGACAGATGGATTTGACTGAAGTGTCTTGTCAAGTGAAACCATTCCAAACCAGTATGTTGATGCAGAGACAGAAATGAAAACAACACAAAAACTTAAGCAACTCCCCACCCAGAAGACAAAAGCTAACTTCTTTATGATTTGCTAGATAATTCTAGCATTAGACTAGCCAGCTACTTTGTTTTACCATGGAGGCAAACAAAAGACCATTGGCATGAAGCATCTCTACAGTAAGAGTGATAAAGACTCATTTTAGATTTGCCTCTAATCCACCAACAAAGTTCTTTAGTAAAGAAAAATGTGATGTGACTCAAGAAAGAAAAAAGACCTACTCCTAGGAATAAACAAAAGTGAAAGAGCTCTGAGTAAAAACCAGACTAAACAGGCAGGTCACATGCTTGCCCACATTATGTCAGGAAACTTTCTCACCACCAACTTCTCAGCATACTCTCCAACCCCTAGACCTCCTGTATAGTCCCTTACTCCTGCATCCTGAAATTGAGCACAATTTGGCTTTTTACTAGTATGATACTAGTATGATTTGGAGATAAGAAGTCTTGGGGCATAGTGACAAAGCAAATACAGGGAGGGTAGAGAAAGTGGAATTAAGGTGATCTAGTCTGAGCAGCTAGGGTAATACAGTTATCATTTATGAGATGATAAAGTCTATAAGAATTGCTGGTAGAAAGAATAGAGTTGGCAAACATCAAAAGCTGGGCTGTGAACAAACATAGTATGGTTGTAATGTCTTCTAGGCATTCAGCAAAATAGATTCAAGTTTAACTAAAGATAGAAATAATAAAAATCATTAGCCAATAATTATTTTAATGAGAATAGAGAAGGGGAGGAAAGGAAAAGAAAGAAAATTTTCAGATCATTTTCAATATTCAGGGACCAGGGAGCAGCAGATCATCAGTAAAGAAAAAAAAAAAAAAAGACTGACAAAGAAAAGGCCAGAAAGGGGCATAGAAGACCAGACTTTTACTTGGAGAAGGAGTTCAAAGAGGAAGGAGGGCTGGGTGCCTGTAATCTTAGCTACTCAGGAGGCTGAGATCTGAGACCATCATGGTTCAAAGCCAGCCCAGGCAAGAAAAGCTATGAAACTTATCTCCAATAAATCATCAGAAAACCAGAAGTGGTGCTGTGGCTCAAGTGATAGAGCACTAGCCTTGAGCTGAAGAGCTGACAGTGCTCAGGTCTAGAGTTCAAGCCCTGGGACTTACCAAAAAAAAAAAAAAAGAGGAAGAATCAATCTTCAAAAGCCGTTATCAGCACAGAAAAATGAAAAAAATGATATGTTGGCTAAACTTAGCAGTTACAACCAATGGAAAATTTTACAAAGCAATTGGGGGAGAGCAGTCAGGAAAAACTGATATATTAAAAAGAGAGTGGAATTTTAAA